CTTTGGTGTCATGCCAATGATAAGATCTCACCTGACCTTTGGCACACCACATGTACTTTCCTCTCTTGTGCTTATTGCTTTGTTTTAGTTCGAGAGGCAAATCCTTTCTGTTCGAGCGGACAGTACCTGCAGCAAGGATGCTCCTCTCGGTGAGAGTTTCCATCAGCTTGGTGCATGTAAAGTAATCAGTAAAGAACAGCTGCGTTCCAGGTTTTATGTTTTCCGACTGGGAAAGCACGACACATTCTACAAGGCTTTGGTTGGCTGATCGGGATGTATTTTTTCCTTTACATACCTCAAATTGAAGCAGATAGGTCATCTTTGAGTCTGCCCTGCACCAAATTTAATATACACGTTATATGGGCTTCATCAGAAGGTACTGTTTCATGCTAGACCTTCCTTTGAAAGCGATCATGCTTTCATCAATTGCCTGATAGGATGATGGCAAGTACTCTTCCTAGAAGCTCCTTGATGAAAGGATGCTGTTTGCAAGCCTATTGTAACCATCTTCTCCTTTCTTCTTTTTTTTGCCGTGGTCGTTCACATGAAGGGAGTTCATGATTTACTGGAAACGACATCACTTTAGCTATTTTTTCAGAGTTTAAAAGTGAATCGCGGCTCCAATAATGGTAAAAGTGGTGCTGTGGTGACACGCTCATCAGCAGAAGCAAACCAAAATAAGCTTTTGGCTCATCTGCTATTAGCACAGTCCATTTCGTCCTGTACTTTCAGCACCAGTGTGTTTGGTGTGCTCTATTATCATATCAATCACCTCATCTTCAAAATACAATGCGAAGCTATCTACTGCGTGTTGCACCTCCTTATTCGTGCACTTGGGGTCCCATGACTTATGGCTACCAAAAGAAATGTTTGGTTTATTTTCTCTCCACCTTTCACCAATTCCTCTTCAAAGCAGCAGCTTCGACATCAGTCTCTGTTACTTCCTGGTTGGCTCTTTTCCTGCTTTTTGAAGTTCTTTGTCGGTGCTTCTTTTGTTTCTCTTGCGATGGCCCAGGTTTATATTCGTCTTCGTCGAGACTGGAGTCTAGTGGCGCGAGCTCCGGCGCGAACTCATATTCGCTACTTTCTGCCTCGTCTCCACTTGCCTCAAATTCACAGAGCAGGCTGAAGAATAGTTCGAGGGCTTCTTCACTTGAAAACGAGTCCACTGAAAATTGATAAATCATGAAATATATCTGAACAAGAAGAGCTAGTGTCAGTTAGGCCTAGCAAAACTTGCCTGAAATTTTGCATTTTATTGACATTGACCAATATATCTAGTCTCCAACAGGATTCGTAGCGGTGCTTGAAATCCTTGAAAACGATTGAATTTTGAAATGGCATATTTAAGGCCTTGAAAACTCTTAAATTTGTTTGAAGTCTTTGAGAGTTTTTGAATTTTGTCAAAGTTCCTTAAGCCATAATTTTGGGGATTTTTTTGCTTGCCTGGCAACTATGTGCTCTCAAGCCAACAATCTAATCTGATTCGTTTTTCTATCTATAATGGAGTGTTGTAGTACGGCATACTCTCCTAGTACACTGTAGGTGTGGTAGCGCAGCAACAGAGCTAAACCTGGCTTTTTTGTCGAGACTGTGCAAGTGTGCGCGGATATCCGCAGTCACGTTGCTCATGGTGGAACTATGCCGGGCAAGTGCGAATTCCAGCCGTCTTGGTCATGCATTGCTGCTTATAGGGAATGGATTGCACCGGTTACATTAAACCCTCATCAAGCAAAGTCTTCCCATGTAGGAAGAGATTCGATGTGTCATCTATGGGGGATTCTGCTCTTAAAGTCACATGAAGAGTACATTGAGAACACAAAAGCAACTGCAGTCCACGGTAACTTAAGTGTGTTCATGCTGGAAACCATACAAATAAAGTACAAATTTTTATGCTGTAAAAAGTGGTATTGTTATTTTCTGCATTTCAAGTGTTATTTTAGGTCCTTAAGTCCTTGAAAACCCTTGAATTTTGTTTCACTTAGGTGCTATGAACTCCGTCCAAATACCCTGATTTCAAAAGTATTGGCACCGAAGCTTGTGGAAAACATCTGTCGAGAAGGGAAAAAAAAAAAAAGGAAAATCTTGCCATTTATTCTCGCACTGGAGTTTGTATTGGCCCGTTGCGTTACCCCAGTGCCCTTGTTGCAAAACGGCTAGTAGGACGGTGATGGCTGCCGTGGTTGAATGCATGGACGGGGGCCCAGAACAACGCAGGAAACAATGGTACTGATGCGTTTAAAGTGCCACACAGGAGAGGTTTATTATCAAAACATCATCTTTTTATTATTCCCCTTGAGGCCGTTTTAGAAAGAGCGGCGGCAAGCTGGATCTGTGAAGCACAACGAATCTTTTACTTGGCAAGCTCATTACAGATTAGATATGTAAAATTACACTGAAAATTGTGCGATTTGCCACGCACACAGTTCTAAGCATGCTAGCAAGAACGCAAATGCTAAAAAAATCACGTAGGTGAAGCGATTCACTATTTTTCGTGCACACAGTATCTTATCAACACACGGCACAGATGCCTTTTATGCCTACCTCCAAAACATTCATTCTTTACTGCTGTGTCGGTTGAGATGATGGTCGACTCCAATCTTGTGATCTGTCTGCTGAGGATTTCGAGTTCGTATCGTCTACCCAAAGTACAACCGCTTCAACTTTTTTGCAATTTACACTCACACCGGCCTTGCAAGTGCAGCTCAATGCGCACATCTGGTGCTTCGCTGTCAGCAGGGAAAAAAAGCTAAACGAAAAATGAGTTGGTGGATAATGCCCCCTCTCCTCTAAAAAATAAACAAAAAAACACCGCAAATAAAATTGCAAAAGGAAACGGCTTCTCAACTGCGCGTGAACACGCTACAAGAGCTGCAACTACCGGTGGTGTAGGAGTTATCATCATGCTTTTAGTACTCGTACACTGTTCGTAGCGAATGCAAATGAGATTGTTATCTGTGAGTTCACAAACTATAAAAACATTAACTACCAATTGTGCAAAAGTCTTGTGCTCTTGACACTGTTCAAACACCGAAAACAAAGCTGCGAAATGAAACGACATCTCACTTGCACATTAACACGCCACGAAAGCTGTAGCTGCCACTTGGCTCAGCACATTCCCATCAGATAATAATTATCATTGAAAGTGACAAAAAGAAGTGTGGACAGCACACACTCAGGCGAGCTCCTTCGTGTGCATTTCCATCACACACTTACTTGTACTTTCATGTCGTATGATGCTTGTTTGACTTGCAAGTGGCCGCTGGCTGCTATCTCGGAATGGGAGTTGCTGCGGCACAGTTTTCTTCACATCGTAAACATAGTTATCCGCGCAAAGCCTGCGTCTATTCGGGAGTGCACAGTTGCAAAGTTACCCCTGCACGAACACGACACTGATGAAGTCGTATACAGCAATATAACCGCTGGCACCACTGCTCATTCTTTAAATTATTCTGCTCTCTAGTAGCAGCTCCCGGTCTGATGCCTTCAACAATGTGCGCAAGTTAGATATTGTGGGCTGTAAACTTTGCAGAAAATAAAAAACAAAAACAAAAAAACACGGCGCAGAAGCAGATACTATCGATAACAGATCACGCAACGTTCCATATACTTTTCAACATGGCCAGTGGCCCTGTCCTACTAGGACTTTTTGAGCCAACTCATTTGGTGGTGCCACGTGTGCATTTTCAACGCACTACTTGGGTAGAGCTAGTTTTCTATATAACCGAACATTTCAGTTCTCTCCTCTCCTCATTTATACATGTCGGCAGTTGCGTTTTGTCAATGTGAGCTATAGAAAGTGTCTCTAAAGTCTAGTCAAGTTTAGCTGTGCTCATCAGGTTTAGCTGTGTATGTTGCTTATTGCTAGTTTTCTCTCTGTTTTGGTAATGGCTGTAGTGCCCTAATAATTTGTGGATGAGCTTTTTAACACTTATTAATTTATACAGTCTCCCTTGGTTTAAAATGAATGTCTTTCATTTGCTTATCTCTAGTCTTCAGTTGTTGTTCATGTCAGCTGTGGTGTTTTAGCACCCTTTAGGTGCTACGATACAAACTTTCATTGCAAAGAACCAAGATATCTTTCTCAATTATGCAAACTTCGTAATTTATTGAATTATTTGAAGTGTTGTCTTTGCTTTATTAATTAAATCAAGTTTCAGTTGTATAGCTTTCAACAATTATTCATATGTGCCACTACAATGTCAGTGGCAGCAACAACAGTTCACAGGTGTCCAAGCCAATGGCAGAGTAAGGGCTACTGACACAAAAACTTTGGCGTCGCATTTTTCTGCTGCAATGTTTTGCTGGGGGCCTGTTAGTCATGACTTGGCAGATCGTTTGCTGCTGCATTACAGGTCCCTCATTATCGACCAATTTCGGTTTCGATTTGAGAGAGCTCTAAAAACAGGGTACAACTTTTGGCACCTAGCGTGTGTATATCTTGATCACGTCAGCTCACACAACTGTGATACACTTCTGCATGTTCTGCATCAAGAATTACTTTCTAATAAGAAAAAGGACTGCAGTGTCACAAAACACAAAACTTTCAAAGTGTGCGCCACGCCCACGCACTCGTGATCAGCCGCCGAGAAGTATAGATTGCGGAAAAAAAATGGTGGCTATTACGTCATCATAACTTGTTTTATTGGCTGCAACGAGGTGGCGTGGGGAAAGTTGAGGGTCCTCAAAGGTCCCCTTCCGAAGTGTCAATAACACAGCGGAGTTGAGCACTCATGAAAACTTCAAAATAAACTTCAAATACATTTCACGCTATATTCGCTGTTGATATTTTGCAGATGATATAGGTATGTTCACGGGAATCAGCTCTGCAAGCTATCACCGATGCGAAATTTTCTGTCAATACCCCTTTAAAAATTATGTGGAAGCTTCCTGTGTTTTGTTATTTTTCTTGGTATTTTTACTGGCTGTAATTTGAGTTCAGGTCTGTAGACTTGTTTGTCCTACATGCACTGTAGCGGACATGATTAAAATGTCTGCAGGAACCACTTTGCATTGTCGGCTGGTGCTGGACTTTACCAGCAACATGCATACCAGACAGTATTTGGCCAGAGCAGCTTGCCGCATGAAGGCTCCCAACAGCCCAGCCATCACACCTATGTTCGGCCACATGGCAGCCTGGATAACCGTGACAACTCATTGTCAGGTAAATGCATGCCTGTTGTACAGGGTTTGTAGCTGCTACGGGGAAGAAAAATAAGTTTCAGGAACTCGTGGCTCTCTCTAACTTTTTTACGGTCAAAGACATGTTTGTCATAGATGTATGTCATGTACGTCAGGTACATGCATGTCATTGCATGCACTGTATTTACTCACATAATTCTCACAAATTTTGGTATGGAAAACAGATAAAAAGTTGGGGGGGGGGGGGGGGGGGGTTGCGAGAATTATGCTAGGAAAATGTCCTGAAAAAACGTAGGGACTGTAAAAAATAAAACAAAAATATCACAGCTTTGCCGCAAAGGAAAAGCAATGAACGCAATAGCAAAAAATTAGAAAGTCACGCACAGAATGGCAAGCAGATCGAAACGTGCCTTGCGTTTCTCATGCAAAAATGGTGCTCGAAATGTACTCACAGGTACAGATTAACGCGAATAAGTGTCTCGGTTGTTACTTCGCTGTGTCTGAAAAGCGCGCCCTTTTTGCAAACAGAGACGTGCAACAATTGCAGTGACTTTTGTGTGCCCGGTAACTACAACAGAATCGTTTGGTGACCACTTGGCTTGAATGTGATCTGCACGTTAGGTGCCGAGTTGTGGAGCGCTTGCTCATAACTGTTGACCACCTGGCAGCCAACTTGCCGCTTCGGGGGTCCCGGTATTCAGCTGTGGAGAAGGTGAAATTTTTGTGGGTGGTGATGACGGCTACATGCCCGCGAAACTGTCTTCGCGAGGCCGACTTTGTGGACGTGGGGACCAATGCCGAGCCTGAAGCTTCCGAACAGGATCACTTCGGCAGTGATTTGTGGTAGTGCGTCGTCGACTACGATCTGGGAGAGCGGGTGAGACATCTGTTGTAATGGTCTAATTACAGCCGATGATGATGCCGACACTGCGGGACTGTGCACGAATCAGGGGCATTGTGAATGAAGTACGTGGCGAGAGCGATTTGGAGGAATCGGATTGCGAGAACGACGATACTTAGGAGCCAGTGCCTCATGCAGCTTATGCCACAGATCTAGGCGAACGAGCACCCTGCTCTTTTAAATGAACTCGAGACCGCCCTTTTCGCTTCTGCACTTCGAAACACGTGCATCACAGACTTTTTTGGGCAGAAAAGTTTGTGCTTTCACTCGCAACTTATTTAAAAACTGTTTCATTTACTACGCACTTCGGGATACAGTGAACGGATGCCGCGTCAGACTCAGGTTCAATATAAGCGGGCTTGACTGTATACACATATGGTGAGTGATGGTGACCCCAGCGGCAAAATCCAGCCAAGAGTATCCATATAATTGCTATCACAACAAAAAATAATGTAGCCGGAAACCAGGATTTTCATGCTAGCAACTAACTACAAGCTTAGAGAAGTACTAATTAAGACTTAACAATAAAACCACATGTTCAACACAAGGCAAGATTAATTTGAGACACAAAAGCTGCAAGCAAATAGTAATTTTATAATACTGTACGCAAAGCTTGCGGGTGTAGCGGGAGCATTCGTCATTCTATAGGAGCCCAAAAAGGGTCATCGTACGACGTAAACCTTGGGCTGATGCCATTAACACAGAATCATCTGCAGTTACACCTCTTGACGAAATAAAGTTCACAAAGGTCTAGTGCATCTTGGTGGCTTTCAGTTGCCTGTGCTACTGTCGCCAGTATAGAGCACTAAACCCATCGTCTCCGAAGTGCCTGCCGGCGGCCTTCTTGTTTAGTACAAGATCAATGACTTTCAACTGCTCCACTTGTCGCTGTGGCAGCTTCAACTCCTCTGTTTCTACCACGCTACCGAAATCCATCTGAGTGGTGCACGCAAGATGACCCATCTGTTTCTCTTACTCTCGTGTTGGGCACATTTCCCACCATTGCCGCAACAGATGGTGTTCCTAGCCAAGCTTTCCTAATGACTGCCGTCAAGGTTGTGAACACTATTCGCAACCCGCTTTTCCTGGACCATGTTCACCTCGCCTCGCCGTTCATCTCCACCCTCCGAACTGTCCTACGCTGACGTCGCTCAGAGAAACTGGCCCAGCCGCTCGCTGTCACCTTAGGGTCGCCCGTCACGCTCCCCTCAACGCCGCCGCTTTCCGTCACCGGTTTATTCTGTTCATTCTCTGGGAAACTGACAAGTGCAGCTCCTGAAGGTGGTGCTACTTCGACGACTCGGACCGAAAACCTTCAACTGGCTACAAATTCAAGATGCAATTTACTTCGAGTTTTTCTAGTTCGCCTTGCCGTTACTGCTCTAATTGACACTGCTGCCCAAATATCTGTTACGAGTTCTGCCCTTCGATCTCGCCTGAAAAAGGTTCTCACACCTGCTATGTTCTCTACTGTTCGAGTGGCCAACGGAAGCCAAACAATGGTGCTTGGCACTGCAAGTGTTACTGTTGCCGGCCAACACACTTCTGTTCTTTTCGCAGTCCTTGATGCTGGCCCACACGACGTCATCCTTGGAATTGACTTCTTAACCGCCCACTCCACCCCCATTGATTGTTCTACTGGCATCTTATGGCTTGAGTTGCCTTTGTGCATCAATTTCAATCCTCCAAGTCGCACTTGCCTACGATACGTGGAGTCTCTACGGCTACCGCCCCAGGCTCCTATGTACATTCATATGTCGCCCCTTTTTGTTCGTTCCTGATGGAGACTATATCGTGGCTCCCCTCATTGATTTGACCCTCACACACCACATCGCACTACCATATACCATTGTGCTTGTTACTAACAACACGACACTACTTCCAATTCTAAACTTCTCTACGTCGACCCAAGTTCTTCCTCAAGGCATCATTTCAGCCGTATTTTCCTCTCTGGATGAATTTTCGATTTCTTCTTCCACCCCTGAGACTAAGACCGTGACAAAACCTGTCATCACCCTGCAATATAAGGCGTTCTTCGACAAAATGATATCCGGTGGCCTCTTACCTTATCAAGTTGCAGCGCTACAGGGTGTTCTATTTTCTTACCTAGATATCTTTGACGTCGAAGACCGTCCCTGGGCTGCGCAAGTGCCGTATCCCACCACATTGACAACGGCGACACCAGTCCACTCCACAACCGCTCTTACTGCGTGTCTCATGCTGAGCGTTAAGTTATTGAAAGGGAGGTAGAGTAGATTCTCAGCAAAGACGTCATTGAGCCTCCATCGAGTTTTTGGGCATCCCCTGTTGTCTTAGTTAAAAAGAGGGAAAACAGCTGACGCAGTCGCCTTCTGTCTCAAGCGAAAAAAAAAAATTATTCCATCCCTGAGCGGGAATGCTTAGCCCTCGTCTAGGCCATCACGAAATTTCATCCGTACTTATACAGACGTCCATTCACAGTCATCACGGACCATCATGCGCTTTGCTGGCTGTCAACGCTTAAGGACCCTATGGCAAGACTCGGCCGATAGGCACTGCGATTACAGGAGTACAGGTTCTCGTTGTGTACAAATCTGTAAAGCTGCACAGCGATGCTGATTGTTTATCTCGACACCCCGTTGATCCATCTAGCTCCACCGATGTGGAATCCGATGCCTGCATTTTAGACATCACTGGCTTTGTGCACATGTTGGATGAACAGTGCCGAGATCCATCGCTGCTCTCCATCATTGACCGCCTTTAATCGCACCATACTGACCCCCCACTTGGCAGATTCCTGCTCCAAGACAACATTTTGTACCGCCACAACTTACATCTCGACAGCGCGGAACTTTTACTCGTCGTACCAGATCGCCTGCGCAAGGATGTTCTGCAACAATTTCACGACCCTCCAAATTCAAGACATTTAGGCGTCTACAGAACCTACGACCGTGTTCTACAACAAGTATTCTGTAAAAGTCTTTATCGCTCCGTTCGCCACTACGTTGCATCTTGTGATCTCTGCCAGCGCCGAAAGAAGCCTACGACTCCCGTTGCCGGTCTCATTCAACCTATTGAAGTTCCAGTAAAGCCATTTTATCAAGTGGGGTTGGACTTGCTAGGTCCCTTTCCTCACTTCAAAAATTGGAAATAAATGGATAGCCGTGGCCACAAATTATGCCACTCGGTATGCCACTCGGTATGCGATCACTCGTGCGCTACCAACCAGCTGCACTACTGACATTGCCGACTTCCTGCTCTACGACATCATTCTTTAGCATGGCACTCCGTCCCACCTGCTCACCGACCGTGGCCGCTATTTTCTATCTCGTGTCGATGATTTACTTCGATCTTGGGCTACTTGTCACAACTTCACCACATCTTACCATTCTCAGACTAACGGGCTTACGGAGCGCCTCAATTGCACGTTGACAGACATGCTTTCTCTGTATGTATCTAGCGACCACACTGATTGGGACATAGCTTTGCCATTCGTCACCTTCGCCTACAATTCGTTGTGCCATGAAAGAGCCAGCTACTCATCATTTTGTCTACTTTTCGGACTTCATCTTTTACTGCCTTTGACATCCTACTTTCATCTGACCAACCATCCTCCACTTCGTACGCTCAGGATGCCATCACCTGGGCCCTCATGGCACCCTCGAAAGCCCGCGCTCAGTTATCGTCATTGCAGACAGCACAAAAGTATCTTGACGACCGTATACATAAGGATGCTGTTTTTTCTGCGGGCTGTCTTGTTCTCCTGTGCCTCCCATCTCGACGTGTTGGCCTCTGCGAGAAACTACTATGGCGATACGTAGGGCCCTACTGCGTCCTACGTCAGGTCACATGTGTGACCTATGGGATTTTCACGACCACAAACTCATCAGCTTCTATACCCAGATTAGAAGTATCCACATTTCTCGTCTTAAGCCCTACAACGCCGACTCGCTCATTTAACAGGCACCGAGACAGTGCCTTACCGGCCGGGATGATGATATGTGTATGGAATTGTCACTCCGGCTCAAGCATTGAAATGATACCCAAAAGGAGGAAGATGACAATGTGTTTGTTGCGGGTTGGACTCTCGAGCTCTTCCGTTAGCCTGCATGACAGTGCACTCTTTACAGCGTTAGCAAAACCTGCTGTTGACGAATAAATCTTCCCCGTAACAGTATTTCACTACGAGGCAAAGGAAAGTCCGAGGATTGCAAAAAAAAAAAAAAATGAAAAACCCTAAATTGTGACCAAATTCATCATTCCCATTGCCGCGTCCCCCCCGTAATACCACGAGAATGTCAGCCATGGTGCCGCAAAAGTTAAGCTACTAATATATCATAGAATACCTTCCTTGTAGGAATGATCACACTTTGTATAAAACAAACCAATAAACTTGCAACAACAAGAAAACATGCCGCCGAACAGTAATACTCGCTGTACATGTGATGCACACGCGCTCTGCACTATTGCAACTGTTGTCAATAGACATGTGGAAATGGTGAGCGTGCCGTTTCTCTCTCTCTTTTTTTTTACTTGTTACGCGTACATTTTGTTTTAATTTGCACTTGTCGGCAACGTATCCATGTTAATGGTAAAAAACAGTGCAAGAAGAACAAGAAACATAGAGAAGAAACAGAACAGAGTGCTCATTACCAACAAGTGGGTTTATGTTTTCAGTGCAAATATATATACTTAGGGCAACACATCACACTAACTAACAACGAGATTAACTATCATGTCAGTTGAGCATTCCACGCTTTTTTGACAAAGCATGGCCTCTGCTAGGAAAGTCCTTCTCCTCCCCTCCAGTCGATGGAGGCAGTTGCCCATATTGGCCAGACTTCCAAAGTATTTCTGCCCATGACCAGTACAAAGGACAAGGTTGAACTTTCCACGGCTGTTTTTGAAAATTTATTTGACTTATATTCTAGTTTTATGGTAGCCTTTCCACACATGGGAACCCCAAACAGCACAGATATTCTCTGAGGTGTTTCTCTATTGATTCCTTTTCTTGTAGGCGACAATTTGGACGACCCTTATGCCGGGCTCATGACGCAAAAAGAAAAGGATTGGTTAGTCAAGATTCAGCTGCTCCAAGTGCAGTCGGAGAACCCAGATGTGGATGATTACTACTATGTGGTGAGTGGCTGTGGGGAAACAAACACATTCCTCTCATAAAATATTCCGTTATGAAGGTGCCCTTGTTTTTTTTTTTCTTTGCTTGTGTGAATTTGGTCAAGCAGGCATACACAGCAACCAAGATTGGTGTCGCATCAACAGATGGAGACCAGGCAGTGCAAGGAGGGGCCGTTCACCAAATTTTAAAGATGTCAGACAATGTAGTCAAGGCTCTTGTGAACACGTGAGAAATAACGCATGACAGGCATTAGGGTAATGGCGTCTCCGTGCCTGCTGCAAATTTTTATTTATTTTTATTTATCACATACTGCGGACCAAGTATGGTCCATGCAGGAGAGGGCAATACAGTTCAAAATTCTTCTACATACATACACTTCCGCTGCAGTATACATTCACTGCAGAACAAAATTCATGTACATTAAAAATTCGTGAAAAACAAGGGACAAATACAGGCAAAGAAGCAGACTTAAGCGACAAGAAAAGGGTATAGTTTCATCTCGGCATGTCGAGCATAGGGGAATCATGGGGCAGAGCATTCCAATCAGAGACAGTTCTCGGGAAAAATGAATACTTGTAAATGTTAGTGCGTGCAAATATAGGTGTAATGCTGCGACTATGTTTATGACGTGAAGCCCTGGTTGTGTCCTGTGTTATGTAATATGGTGCATGCAATCCTGATCTGGAAAAGTATAAAAGGCGGAAAAAGTTAAGCCGAGCAGTTTTCCTTCGATCGGCCAAAAGTTGGAGGTTCGCATCCTGCAACAGGGCTGACGGCGAATCGCGACATCTATACCGGTTGTATATAAATCGAGCAGCTAATCGTTGTATTTTTTCTATTTTCTGTATATTACCAGCTGTGTGGGGGTCCCACACAATGCTGGCATATTCAAGAGAAGGACGAACTATGACTTTATAGGCTCTAAGTTTTAGTGAACTAGAAGAACGACCCAATTTATATTTTAGAAAGCCTAATTTTCTCCTGGCAGCAGAACATATACCATCAATATGTGCTGTCCAGCTAAGCTTCGATGTAATCGTTACGCCCAAGTACTTGAATTCTTCTACTTGCCTGATAGTGTATCCACCTACATTATAAGTAAACTCCAGTTTTCGGATTTTGTTACTCAGACATAAATATGCAGTTTTCTCAAAATTAATTACCATTTCCCACCTTTTACACCATTGCTTGCTCTGTCCTTGGAAATGTTTCTATCATTTCTGGCCAAGGAACCTGCTAGGCAAAGTGTATAGTGCAAATTGGCTTTTGTATCACGAAAAATGACGAAAAAACAGATTTTTTTAAAATCATGTTTTCAATTTCTGGAAACCTTTTTTTATCTGATTTCAAAATATTTACACTGAGAACTGTGCAAAACCACTTCTGAAAATTTGTTTCACCCATCTAGTTAGTGAAAATGTTTCTGAAAATTGCGAGAAAACAGCGATTTTCAAAAAATTATAGCGTCGCGATGGCGCGGCCGGGAGCCAGCTTTTTGGGCTCATCGAAAAGAGCATTTCTCCGTGTTCAAATTTCTCGCCTCAGCTCGCTCCTCCCTCGAAAAACAAATGCACAAAAAGCATATGTCTAAAGGTCGTTTCAAGGCCCCTGATTAACTGTGGCCGTCATGTTGCCCTAGCTCACCTTGCCATTGGTCCGATGCTCGCTCCGGGAGATTGTCGTCTGCTGCTTGTGCATTGCAAGGACATGGCTGTCGAAAATCGCTAGTTCGTGACTTGTTCACGGCTCGACGATCACTTGGGATATAATTACACTTTAGTTATTAGCTGTAAGCGGATGTTCTCTCAGATTACTACGAGCTGGCGCACGGTCTATGAGCGCGCCGCGTCATTGGAGTCACCTTTAGGTCTAACATCGCTGACAACTTCGCGGGCAAGAACAACGTGCTAGTGCACTTGTGGCAACATGCTTCTTTGCAAGCAAAGAAGCACCTCATTCGCTAGCTCCTCAGAACCGCAGATGGGCATTTTATGCATTGGCAGCGAGACCCGACAGTCAAGCTCGTCAACCCCCCCCCCCCCCCCCCCCCCATCCACTGCCAAGGATTGCTCGGAGCAGCAGCTAGCAGTTTTCCACGTCCGCACTCGGAAATGCAATAACAAGCGCAGTGTGCAGCGATTTTTCATCGCTGTAGCTACACATTCTGCGCGTTGTCACCGAACGTCGCTGCCAAGTGCATCAGGCGCCGGCTGCACTGTCTATGTGCCCACGCACTTCACGATCATAGGAAGTGCTGTCAATAAGCTTTTGTGATGTTATTTAGTCATGCTTGGAGCCGTGCTTGGTATCCCCGTGGACGTCTAGGAATGTTCTGAGGCAATGAAAGCCTTGGAGATTAGAGTTTCTGCGACCGGCCATGTCATGATACGTTTCACAGCGAGCATGTGTGAAGCAGGGGCACGAGTTTTGATATGCCCGACTGGCAGCATTAAGTAAACTGCTAAAGAATTCCTGTGACACCAGTTTTTGCCAGTAGCTTTTCTTTATTTGGAAAGAAGGCATAGGGTGTCGTGGTGTGAGCCATTGTTCGGATGCAATAAATATCTCTATAAATGAAAAATGTTCAGTGATTATTTGTAATCAAGAAGTACTTAATTATGCCAATGACAGGTTAAACACAAGAAAGATGTGAAATTGTTTCATATATGGCCTTAGTGAATTACAATGTATTCTGTCATGCCTATCGCACAGGATGTATAAACTGGCAGCACATGTTGCAACTGCATTGCTGCCATTCTACCAACGCCATTCTGATCCTCAGTTGCTCAGTCGTTGCCAAGGCAAGAAAACCCAAAATGCTTCGTTGGATGCCGCCGAAACAGCTGTGAATGAAGCCATCTGCAAGTACAACTGTGGCATTCTTCATTCTTGTCGAGGCTTTTGTGCATCGCTTGGCCTGAAGCCTGAAAACACCTCTTTCACAGAGCTGCAGAGAAGGAGGAAGTATGTTTAAAAAAAAAAGCATCAAAAGCCCACAAGAGCAAACATCAAATGCCTAAGAGTCCTGGCATAACAAAGGGCACCTATAACTATGGTGCCGGTGAACTATGAACTCGAGCTTATGGGGGGGTTTTGACTCCCTCCCACGCCTAGCCGTGCGTGGCTTTGCCGTGTCCGGGGAAAAAAGGGATCCTAGGGGTTGAGCCGGCGCCAGGTGAATATACCTTTAAGGCTTCCCCCCCCCCCCCCCCTCGCAGAGGCAACACATTCCTTTGGCCCCGGCTTCACGTAGACGGCACCCCTGGACTGACCCACCGAGGAGAAAATCGGCAGTCGCCTTTTCCTATATCTGTCTCTTCCTACATTTTTGTCTTTCTCACTTTTTTATCTTTCCTGTCTACTTCTCCCTTCTGTTTACTTCCAATTTTCTCGGTGGCAAGCGTTAACCCTGTGCAAATAGGCTACCTTGGCCTAGGCGCATTGGGTTATAGCAGTGCTGTACAGCTGACGTCTGCAAGCTTTCAGCATCCGGAAACTTGCAGCGTCTTTTCGTTGGGCTCCGTGGTGGGTGTCCGCCAACACTGCTCAACAACGTACAATTAGCATGCATAAAACATTTCTTTTGTTTAGTGATCATGTTTCCTCAAAGCGGTTACGCACCGTAGACGTCATTTTTTTCAACCGGCCAAGTTGAATCTTTCCTCACTTTCATGTTATACACTGTGAGAAAACTAACACAAGCAAGCCAGAACTGTATTCCCCATCCCTAAATGGCCAGTGAGATCTACTCCTTGAGATGCGAGAGAAAGACCAATTCAAAAAGCTGAACTCTCTCACGACTTTTGGTGACACACTAATCAGTATTACCGTAATTACTCGAATCTAACGCGCACCTTTTTTCCGGTTAAGCGAGTTCATAAATCGCATGCGCGTTAGAATCGAGTACGAAAAAAAAATACGTTCAATCTATTGCCATCGGCAAATCCAAAATGGCCGCCCCCTACGTGCGTCGGCATGGCGCGTTAGCCATTACTGCCTATGTGTTTCCCATGTGCGGCACTTCGTACGTGTGCTGAGGAGTTCGTCATCTAGTAGTGCATTAGCATCGACGGCGTGGAAGGGCCGACTCCAAAAACTAGTGCACCACGATGCCGCTTTTAAAAGAAAAGCCATCGCGTGTGCGAAAACGCACACGCGATGCGGTCGTTTCGGATCGCGGTCGTTCGGAGTTCCCGAAACGTGCGTGCGGGATCGGCGGAAACAAAAGCAGAAGATTGTCGACAGCAAAGCTTCACGCAAAGGCTTCAGTGGACCACAGCAGGGTCGGTTTCCGCAAATTAAAGAGCTGCTCGGCGAGTATGTGCTTCAGCAGCGAGCGGCCCGTGACGACAGAACTGCTCCAAGTGCGGGCTATGCAATTAGTTTTAGAAAAAGGTCTAATGCGGAGCCAGTTTAAAGCGAGCAGGTGCTGGCTAACTAACTTTATGAAGAGGAAAGGCTTTTCCCTCCGAAGGGGAATATGCATATGCGAAAAGTTTTGCGGAGGAGTACGATGAAAAGCTTCACAGTTTTCAGAGGTTCGTCCTAAACTTGTGGCGCAACAACGGCTACCTGCTTGGGCGAATCGGGAATGCCGATCAGACGCCTCTTTCTTCGACATGCCTGGCACCACAACCGTCGAGAAGAAGGGGGCGAAGCAAGTTCGCGTGCTGACATCGGTCCACGGTAAAACTACAGTGACGGCAATGCTCTGTTACACGTCAGATGGGCACAAGCTTCGCCCGTACCTCATATTTAAATGGAAGACGCTCCCGAAAGGAGTCGTTTTTTCGAGTGGTGTGATCGTGCGGGCCAGCGAGACAAATGGGTGCGCGTTGCAATCGATGTCGTACTTTTTTTTTTTTTTTCGCGGTGGAAATCGGGTGCGCGTTACAATCGAGGGCGCGGTAGAATCGAGTAAATACGGTAGACCGCACAGATCTATGAACTCTGCTCGAGGGGTAGCATCGAACGCAGATTTGCTTGACCTGACCAAAGCTGA